GCCTATGGTATCTAGGTATCTAGAAGCCTGATTAAGAGAGTAAAGATGAGTTAGAGACGATGTGATATCTCGCTTGATGATCCAGAATGACATAAGGAAATCTATGATGCAAGTAAGTTGGAAGTTACGAGTGATATAAATAGACATGTATAGGTCGCAAGCTATTGTATGGTAGAGCGACAGGATTTTAAGAAGGCATGGGTAAGGATAAGGAAAGGCGAGTAAGAAGGTAACAAAAATGGATAAGCCCTCAGGATTAAGCCCTTGTAAACAAGAAGAGCTGATGGTTTCTCTAAGTTATAGAAAGCTCAGTATAACCTGAATAAACTCAAAGGAGTCTAAGACTATAACATTTAGCAAAGATGGAATGCTGCCCTAGTAGTAGAATAAAGGTGTAATTGTGATGGGTAAAGGATGACATTTGAGCCTTTGATTGAGTAGTAATTTGAAAAAAAAATCAAAGGGGATTTCACGAACGACACAGAATTAAAATACCCACGTAAGGTGAATCACATTGGGATGCTATGAAATACGGTTATGGAGGTATGGTATCGCCCCCGGGTGGATTAGGAAAATCACTTCTAATATTCCTTGATACGACGTGAACCCTAGCAGCGGTGTTACATAAAAGGTCAAGTTATCAGTGGTATTTTATAGATCAATATTGAGGTGAATCAATAATGGATGTATAAATGTTATAAAATGTGAAATGAGATTAGGCCATCATTTCTAAGATGAACAGTAATGAGGAAACATTAAAGGACTTAGACTTATACATATATGATAAGTAGTGAAAGAGTAACCGAGAATTTGGTAGCAGACCTCAGCAACAACGAACCAAGGTAAGAGGTATGGTATAATATGACCTACCTAGATTCAGCAAAGTCATACGGATAGATAACCGGGTCTATGAGATAAGATACAACAATATTCGTGAATTCAAAAAAGTACCAAGAGAAGAACTTCAGTATACCTATAAATTCCCAAAGAGACATCTTATCAAGCTCTGTATATGCTTATAAAGTGACGCCTAGAGATTGGCTAAAGACTAGGGAATAAGGAGAGAAAAGTTGCATAGGCGATCATACAAGGTCAGAGTCATACAAGCTGCATGATGGAAGGCAGCAACTGTTACAAAGTTGGAAGGATTCCGACCACAAGCCATGTTGTGAGAAAGAGGCCTAAAGGGGGGAATGTTCTGGCTCTTGGATTTATTCACAGAATAGTTGCCTAGATGGCAAGGAGAGTACTAAAGTATTCGAAAGACATAGGTTGTGAAAATGATCAATGCACCAGTCAACATTCAAGGAAGAATGTTCTAAAGAGGGGAATGATGTTACACCCCATGTTTTCGTACATGAAAGTACACCATGAGTAAATTGATATAAGCTCGAGAATGAGATTATTTTTGAGGTTTTATGTATTATGTTATTTCAATCAAGTGATAAGTAAATTCGTGACGGTGAGAGGGTAATCAAATCAAAGAAATGAGTTTCGTCAAAGTTTGACATTTTGGGATAAAATACAGTCCGAGCTATAATACCTGATATTTATGGACTAGTACCATAAAATGTACCACATGGCCATGATAGTAAGGTGTAAAAGGTATGTGAAAAGTGAGTAGTATTTTATGTAAGTGGAAATAATTCTTAATTACGTGGGTAATTGATTAATTGCTGGGTAATGGGATATTACCTAGTTAATTGATAATTAGTGGTGGAGTAATTGACGTTTTGGATAAAGATTAAACTCAAAAACGTGGCAGCCCACTATTCTAGCATTATCACTCTTATACTATACTTGAAAGGTGGCAAAATTTAGTAGATTATGTGACATTAGTAGTTATTCAAATGGGGCCACTCTCTAATTCACTATTCAATATCTACAAAGTTCAAAGAGATATTCAGCAACTCATCATAAAATTAGCAACGTGATTTTGCTATAAAAAATTAAGTAATTCAAAGTATCTTCATTCTTCTACAATAAATATTTAGAAACTAGGATAGACAAATAAGATTTGGCAACGAACACAATGCTCAAAGGCTTATTTGGAAAGTACACAAAGGGATTATTTACAAACATCGTCTGTGATAAGTATCACTTCAATCCGACGTTACGTGTTGTCACAATTGATGTGTGTTGGAAGGATTGTGAAGAGAATCATCTCATGTATGTTAAGGATATCCTTTTTTTGGCATGATCTATACGATACAAACGAAACGAGCAAATGCACAATTTCCGTTAATGAGTCTATTCATAGAAATACTAGAGATGCTTATCTTCTTGATTCCCATGTCTTATATTATTCTATCATCTGTTCATGGGTCTCAAAAAAATACGTAAGTTGAAAAAGTTTACTTTATGATATTAATCGAAGGCATGATGGTCTTATGATGTACCAAGAGATTTTATTAACGTATTTCATATGAATTTCATGCATTTATACATGCACATTTACTGATGATCATATGGCGTTATATACACGTATACATATGTATATATATGTATATGGGATATGGGAAAGGTTATGGCGCTATATATGTCATGCCCCGAACCATGGATTGGGCATAACAAGGCACTCGGTGCCTGACTGCATGTGATCGAGTGAACAAACTGTATGGCTGGATCAACATGTGGGATAACTGTAAGCTAGATGTAAATATATAACATGATGATCTACTAAAGATTCTGACTGAAATATCATAGATGTGGAAAATACTGAAAGGTCTGCAAGTATATACGAGTAGCCCACAAGGCTAATATCTGACTGACTGGGTTATGGTCTACGAAGCCTCTAAAGAATACTAAAAATGCTAATTGTTTACCGGGACAAGGTCCCCGGTATACCTTATTAACTGAAATACTATAATGACTAAAAAAAGGGAGGGATAATTCCCCGAAAGATTGGGGCTCACCAATAGCTGATACGAGATGTCCTAGCAAGCAGAATTGTCAATCTGAAATAGTTACCTACATTGCGAGATGCAGGCCCCGGGCAAAAAAGGACACCAGTACATTTGAATTGTAATGGTATGTAAAACAACTTAAGGAAAGAACTGTAAATATTATAACTGAAACTGATAAGTGAACTAAACATAGGAAGTAAGGTTATGAATACTCCTCTTTTGAATGATGAACCAATTGTTTATCTGAAAAAATAGACTGCGGCCTCAGGTCCAAATACGGGTTTTTAACATTCAGGAACTTAGAATCAGGAACTGAGAATCATACCGCAATACATCACACTGAATTACATGATACCGGAATAACGAATAGGGCTAGATTGAGATGTGTATTCATTATAAGTTGATTTGTCATAATTGAAACTCATAGAATATCGAATGATTGTGAACCTATGCCATCTAGAGAATAGAAGTTCTTCTACTATTCACAAAACTAGGCATAATTACTTTCCAAGGAAACTAGCAATACTCATAATGAATGGGATATAGGGAGAATCATAGACATTCCCAAACGTATAGAGTTAGCCTCACATACCTCAATTTCTCCCCTTAGTGATACTAAAATGATCCACAATACTAAGAACCTTCAATCTACAATATCAACATCCAATGGAACCAATATTAGTAACAAATTCCATAACTTAAGCCATTTAGGCATATTATCAAACACCTTGTAGGCATAAATCTCTACATTCGATCACCATATATTTAGTTCATCCAACTACCACCATTCATCAACAATTTATCCCACAATCATGATTAACTAATTTATAACTTCCAACATCACATATGTGACCATCCATCCACACTCAACCAACAAAGTTCCATTAAATAATCATCTATTCTATCTCTACCATAATTATGTAATTAAATTTGGAATTAAATGGCTTCCAATCACCATACTAAGAGTTCTATTACTTATTCATACTCATATTCCCTTAAGAAATCCATACATGTAAGTCTAAGGGTGTAGGATTACCTTTTTGGAAGAAACCTTACAAAAAACCTCCTTTGAGTTCTTGAAGAAATTTCTGGAAGATTTATATATGTTATGTGTAGATTTCATCAATACTAGTGTAGAAATGATGTAATTTCACACCAAGATAATGTGGATTGCTTACCTTGAAGAGGGTAGGAGTTGGTGCTCTTGAGTGAGTGAAGAAGAACCCCAAGGGCCATCTAAATAGAATGGGGAAAATGAATCCCAAAATTGTGTTTATAAGCCCAGATTTCGGACGCGGACGTGGATGCTTCGCATCCGAGCAGTACTTCGCTCAGGATCTCGGATGCTACGCAGATGCTATGGCAGTACTACACTGCCAGCCCCTCTTTTCAGATGCAGCCTCGGATGTTTCGCATCTGCGCAATCCTCCACCAGCTTTTGGTAATTTGGTCATAACATCTTGTACGAAAGTCCGAATGACGAACGATTTGAAGAGATAGAAACTAGACTCAAGGACCTTTCATTTTATATGTTGTGCATCATCTAACACCTTATATATCTATAGATATTCTCATCGAAAGTATGGTCTTGTGACTCATTTGAAATTTTTGTCTATCATGTAATTTCCGACTTGGCTAAGACTTAGGTCTCTCCTTGGACCCTAAATAACTTATGATATGCCTCATACACTTATTATCATAAAAAATTGATTCCCATCATGTTAATACTCATTTAATGCATCCACAACCGATTCAAATTTATGGGGTGTTACATTATCTTCCCCTTGTGATCATTCGTCCTCGAATGATTGTCCTTGCTGTATCTTCGGCTATCTCCGGACCTTAAATGGGTCTGTTGGGAACATGAACATTCATTAACACTTGCATACTAAACTAAATGAATACAATATTACTGAACTGATGAGATACTGAACTGAAAAGGTACTAGACTGAATGGCTACTAAACTGACTAAACACTGAAAGACATGAAGATTGTTATATAAGGTCTGAGGGAGGAGGTTAGTTACTGTCTAGATTCTCTGCTTGCTCTTAAAAGAGATGGGGATATCTGGACTTCATGTCTTCTTCGGCTTCCTACGTTGCCTCTTCAACCTTTTGATTTCTCCAAAGCACTTTCACTGAAGTAATTTCCTTAGTTCTGAGCTTGCGGATTTTACGATCACGGATTGACACTAGAAATTTTACGTAAGTCAGGATGTCTTTAACCCCTATAGTCTCCATAGGAACCACAAGGGAAGTGAATCCCATGAATTTCTTTAACATAGACACATGAAACACAGGGTGTACAACAGCAAATTCTTGTGGCATTTCTAGCTCATAATCCACCCGCCCGATCCTTCACATTATTCTATATGGCCCAATATAGCGGGGACTAAGCTTTCCCTTCTTCCCAAATCTCATAACGCCTTTCATAGGAGAAACTTTCAAAAACACCCAATCATCCACTTGAAACTCTAGGTCTCTACGTCGCATGTCTGAATAGGACTTTTGGAGACTCTGAGCCATCTTCAAATGCTCTTGAATCAACTTGACTTTCTCCATTGCCTTATAGACCAAATTAGGTCCTAACAACTCTGCTTCTCCAACTTTGAACCAACCAATTGGTGATATACACCTTCGCCCATACAGAGCTTCGTACAGTGCCATCTTTATACTAGAGTGATAGCTGTTATTATAAGCAAACTCAATGAGGGGTAGATGATTGTCCCAATTACCTTTAAAATCGATAACACACACCCTTAACATATCCTCAAGAGTCTTAATGGTGCATTCCGCCTGGCCATCTGTCTGAGGATGAAAAGCGGTGCTGAGGTTCACCCTTGTGCCCAACCCCATCTAAAAGGATTTCCAAAAGTTCGTTGTGAACTGAGCACCACGATCTGAGATGATGGACAAAGGAGTCCCATGCAATCAGACAATTTCTTGGATATAAAACTTGGCATAATCCTCAGCCGAATCCGTAGTCTTCACTGGCAAGAAGTGAGCTGACTTGGTAAGTCGGTCTACAGTCACCCAAATCGAATCATGCTTCCGAAACGAGCAAGGTAGACCTGTTATGAAGTCTATGTTTATCATCTCTCATTTCCAAACGGGAATTTCTATACTCTATGCTAAACCACCAGGCCTATGGTGTTTGACTTTCACCTACTGACAGTTTGGACACTTAGCCACAAAATCTGCTATGTTCTTTTTCATATGGTCCACCAATAAATCTCCTTAAGATCATGATACGTCTTTGTGGAACCTGGGTGAATAGAATACCTGGAATTGTGGGCTTCTGACATAATCTGCTCTCTGAGCCCATCTACGTCTGGAACGCATAGTCTGCCTTTGTACCTCAAAGTACCATAATTTCCCCCTTGTTCAAAAGCTGACGTCTTGTGTTTGTGAATTCCCTCCTTCAGCTGCAATAAGTAGGGATCACTGAACTGCTTTTTCTTCACGTCAGCTACTAAGAAAGATTCAGCCCTGTTCTGAAGAACAATGCCACCATCTTCAAAGTCCAAAAGTCGAACTCCTATACTTGCTAAGCGGTGGACTTCCTTCTTCATAGTTCACTTATCTGCCTCAACATGAGCTAAGCTTCCCGTAGAAAGCCAACGGAGAGCATTGGCTACAACATTGGTCTTCCTCGGATGATAGAGGATATCAATATCATAATCTTTAAGTAATTCGGGCCATCTCCTCTGACGTAGATTCAATTCTCTTTGCTTGAAGATGTACTGAAGGCTCTTATGATCTATAAAAATGTCAACATGCACCCCATACAAATAATGGCTCCAAATCTTAATCAAAAACACCAAAACTGCTTATTCAATATCATGAGTTGGATAATTCTTCTCATAAGCCTTGAGTTATCTTGATGTGTAGGCTATGACTTTGTCATGCTGCATTAATACACACCCAAAACCAACCCCTGAAGCATCACAATGAACAACGAACCCTTCAGTTCCTTCCGATAGTGTCAAGACTGGAGCTGAAGTCAACCTCTTCTTTAACTCTTCGAAACTATTCACGCAAGCGTCTGACCATTGAAACTTGACTTTCTTCTGAGTTAATCTAGTCAAAGGGGATGAGATAAAAGAAAATCCCTATACGAAATGCCTATAATAGCCTTCTAGACCCAAGAAACTTCTTATATTGGATACTGAGGTGGGTCTAGGCCAATTCTTCACTGCCTTTATTTTCTGAAAGTCTACCTTCATGCCATCCCCTGAGATGACGTAGCCCAAAAATGCTACTGATTTCAACCAGAATTCACACTTAGAAAATTTCGCATATAGCTTGTGATCCTGCAGTGTCTGTAACACAATTCTGAGATGTTCTGTATGGTTAGTCTCGCTATGGGAATAAATCAAGATGTCATCAATAAACACAATAACGAACAAATCAAGATAAGGCTTAAAGACCCTATTTATAAGGTCCATGAAAGCTGCTGGTGCATTCGTTAAACCGAATGACATTACCTAATATTCGATATTCACGTATCGAGTCCTTAAAGCTACTTTTGGAATATCGACTTCCTTAACCTTCAACTAATGGTATCCCAATCTGAGGTTAATCTTGGAATAACACTGGGCACCCTGAAGTTGATCAAATAAATCATCTATTCTAGGAAGAGGGTACTTGTTCTTGATGGTGATTTTATTCAACTGACGATAGTCAATGCACATGCGTAAAGACCCATCCTTCTTTCAGACAAACAAGATTGGTGCGCCCCAAGGTGAGACACTTGGACTTATGAATCCCTTATCTAGAAGATCTTTCAACTGGACATTTAGCTCTTTCAACTCTGTTGGAGCCATTCTATAAGGTGGAATAGATATAGGCTTAGTGGCGGGGAGTAGATCAATTCCAAAGTCTATCTCTCTATCGGGAGAGACTCCGGGAAGATCTTCGGGAAACACTTCTGAGAACTCATTTACAATTGGTACCGGTTGGAGAGTGGGAATCTGAGCATCTGCATTCTTAACCCGGACCAGGTGATAGATATATCCTTTGGATATCATCTTTCTGGTTTAGGATAGGAAATAAACCTACCCCTAGGTCTTACTGCATCACCCTTCCATTTTAAGACTGGTTCACCAGGAAATTCTAAGCTCACTATTTTGGTTCTACAACCCACTGTGGCATAACAAGACTCTAACCAATCCATGCCCATGATCACATCGAAGTCTACCATCTCCATTCTACTAACTCTGCTACAGTAAGGCGATGATATACTTTGACTGGACATCCTCTGTAGATACATCTTGTTATAACTAGTTCTCTAGCTGGAGTGGATACTTCAAAAGGTTCACACAACTTTTTCTGGTTCTATCCCAAATTTCTAAGCAATAGATGGAGTTACATAAGATAGGGTGGATCCCGAATCTATAAAAGCATAGACATCAAAAGTGAATATCATTAGCATACCGTGACAACATTTCCCCGAGCCTCCGTATCCTTACAGTCTGCCAGGGCATACAAGTGGTTTCGACCACCGCTTGCATTACTAGACTTTGCTATACCGCGCCCTTGTTGGGCCTGAGAGTTATGAGGGGCTGCTAAATTAGTGGATTGATCCATATTGCCTCCATTGTTCTGCTTTGCTGATGGACAACCCCTCAAGAAGTGGCCTTGTTGACCTCACCCAAAGCAACCATTTGTGCCCGAATGACAGAACCATGGATGCCTTTTACCACATGTGTTGCAAATAGGGAAACCAAGGACTATGTAGACCACACTAGAATGTGATTGTGAGTCTGCTGTTTTGAAATTCTGGTTTTGCTTGTTGAACTTTGACCTCTGAACTGGTGCACTAGCTGAAGATGGAGCAGGTCTTGATTTTGATTTCTTCTAAAATTGGTGATTGCCTCCTGCTTGAGATCCCCCATGGTTGAAATTTCCTGCAGACTTAGCTCTCTTGCTGGATTCCCTGTCCTTCTCTTTCTATAGCCACTCTTTTTCCTTTAACCTGTCTTCATTCCCTTGAACAATGCAACCATCTTAGTGATGGTCATATCATTATTCTAAGCAGCTACATTAGCATCAGCAAACAAGTCATCTGAAAGCCCTAAAACAAACCGCCTAACTCTAGCCCTACTTATGCAGAGAGACAAACTTGAGGTAGTACTCATTCACACTCATATCATTCTATTTAAGTCTTTCAAACTCCAAAGCCTTAGCTTCCAAGACCTCAATGGGTAGAAAATGCTCAAGAAACTCATCTGTAAACTCCTTCCAAGTTGCAGAAGCCGTATCCCCCCCTCGGGACTCTTCCCATGTTTCATAACAAGTGTTGGCAACATCCTTCAGCTGGTACGCAACAAGCTCTGCTGGCTAGTATGCATCATTCGAAATATCTTTTGAACCTCATCAATGAAGTTCTCTGGATCCTCATATTTTTTGACCCTGTGAAGACTGGAGGTTTCATGTTGAGGAATTTTTTGGAACTGGGACTACCCGTCTCATAAACAACACTTGATCCATGCCTTTGAGCTTGGGTAGACACAATCTAGGTGAGCAACTGGATAGCTCCCCTGGCATCCATGTCTAAAGCACTTGGCATTGAGTTCGATGAAACCCCTTAGGCCGGAGTGTCCACCTCTTAAACAACATTAGTCGTAGCCCACTAGCTAGTAGCTGAGGCCCTCCTAAATGTCTTGGTGGTCAACTTGGACACGACTTCATAGACTCCCTAGGACTTCTAAACCTGGGCTCTTATACCAAGCTTTATCACGCCCTGAACTATGTCCTGCGTGTAACACGGCACTCGGTGCCTGACTGCATGTGACCGAGCTAACCAACTGTATGGCTGGATCAACATATGGTATAACTATAAGCTAGATGTAAATATATAACATGATGATCTACTAAAGAGTCTGACTGAAATATCATAGATGCAAAAAATACTGGAAGGTCTGCAAGTATAAACGAGTAGCCAACAAGGCTAACACATAAAAGACTTCTAATATCTGACTGACTGGGTTATAGTCTACGAAGCCTCTAAAGAATTCTGAAAATGCTAACTATTTACTAGGACAAGGTCCCGGATAAACCTTATTAACTGAAATACTATAATGACTGAAAAAGGGAGGGATAATGCCTCGAAAGACTGGGGCTCACCAATAGCTGATACGAGATGTCCTAGCAAGTAGAATCGTCAACCTGTAAATCGTTACCTGCATAGCAAAATGTAGGCCCCAGGCAAAAAGGGACGTCAATACATTTGAATTACACTGGTATGTAAAACAATTGACGGAACGAACCGTAAATATTGTAACTGAAACTGATAACTGATAACTGAACTAAACATAGGAAGTAAGGTTATGAATACTCCCTCTTCTGAATGATGAACCAACTGTTTATCTGAATAAATAGACTACAGCCTCAATATATATATATATATATATATATATATATATATATATATGTGTGTGTGTGTGTGTGTGTGTGTATGTACACAAATTGTGGCCTCGGACCCAAGTATACGTATACATAATTGTGGCCTCAGGCCCAAATACAGGTATCAACATTCAGGAACTTAGAATTAGGAATTGAGAATCATACTGCAATACATCATAGTGAAATACATGATACCGAAATAATTAATAGGGCTAGATTGAGATGTGTATTCATAATAAGTGGATTTGTCATAATTGAAA